CCAGTACAAAAAAATCCGTCGGGCCAACTTTCGGTTCCCATAAGAGTCAGCCTAAAAACACACCGTACACAGTACGCGTGATTGTGTAAGGCGGGGCCTCAATCCTACTTTAGCCCGAGAATGTATACCGCCAACATTCGGGTGCTCTCTCTCTGTGGGGTCTCTTCGCACTTGCCGCCGCATTCAAAGGACGACTGGTTGGGTGGGCGTGCAAAAAAGGGGACACCGTGATTTCGCTGCTGATGTCGTCGCTCGCCACGCGAGCTGCCATCGAGCGGACAGCTGTGGTACGGTTTTGCCTGTTGAGACGACACTACTTACTACTATACGAGCAGATACTACTATACGAGCAGATACCTCCTGTGGTATGGTTTGCCTGTTGAGACGATACTATTTACTGCGGCGATGATCGCTACATGTGGCCGAGGGGGGGGAGCGGGGGACACAAGGAATTTCTCCAACGCGGGCCCGAAACAACAAGGCGAGACAAGTAAGATCTTCCAAAAGTCAAATCTTGCCGGCTCCTGTGGTGGTTGGCATGTTTCCACCAGCGCAACCTTAATCCTTAACTCCGATGAGGCCATGAGCGTTCGGTGCCTACCGTAGGTGGCATGACATAAGATACCACACACCCCGGACCGATTTTTTAAAGCGCAAGTACCCCACGAAGGAGAGGATGCCACAATCAAACATTACGTTTTCGGAAAGCTCTCTCTCGACGAGACAGTTCCAACGCCGCCATTTTCGGCACCGTTATTGCTCTTTTTACCGAGTAATCGAGCTTCGAAAATCGGTCCAGGGGGTGTGATATCTTAAGAAACCTACGGTGTACTACCCCGTCGCCTCGATTTTCCGTAGACGCCATGTCCGCGGGGTCGCTGCAGCAGCCAGCACTGCTGTATCGAGCAAGTAAACTTGTGGAGCTGGAAAGGTAAAAACGTCACGCAAACAGCAGTATGTAGTTCCGGCCCACTCAGAAGCAGGGAAAACGCAAAGACTGAAACAATTCCGCACAGGGACAAAGAATCCCGCGCTCCTTCAAAATATTGGTGACATAGCTGCGTCGACCGAGTCCCCACTCACCTGTAGGCGTTCCAAGAGGTAGGCGGTATCGGCGGCGCGGTTCGGACAACGAAATCCGATCACGTCCCCGGGCACGTACGTGATGCCCGACCCTCGCAGCGACAGCTCCATGTTGATTACTCTTTTTTTTGTCGACATGTCCAGCGAGCGAGCGACAACGAAAGAGGCAGGGTTGGACGGAGAGGAAAAATGGAACGGCAGGATCTTCAGAAAACTCTTCCTTTCCGAAACACTCGCCTCCCAACAGCCCCACGCGAGTTGTAGTAGCGGCGACCGAGGCTTAGCGGGAGGGGGGGGGGGGGGGGGGCGGGGG